GACAGAAAAAGGTATTGCGTGGTCGTTTGCTTCAGTAAAATATATTAAAGGCAGTGCGCGTTTTTGAAGGACAAGAATTTGGTCAAGGTAAGTTTTACACGCGTTGCCCCAAGAGATAAGACCGTAAGTTGTTAAGGTGTAATTAGGGACTGATAAATATTTAGGAGGGTGCAAGTGGGAACAATATACTTTGATAATTGATAATTCAGACAATACGATTCGTACACATTAAATTTCTCCGCAACAAACAACTTAAAACAAACGCTTTTGCTTTATTCGTCAAATCCTTATGGTCTTTTTCCTTTGACAAAATACCTTTAGGGTTCGTTGTTGTTTTTATTTACAAAACAGTTAATCATAAAATAGCACAAGTAAATACTCCTTTACATTTAATTTGGCAATACATAAGTGGCAAATTAAATTCTATATATACATAAGCAATATATTGCAGAGTGCAGTCCTCTATAAGACTGTTAAATAACAGTCCTATTCACGACTGCAATCACAGTATAAATATACGTTTTTTATTAATAACTATGTTTGCCAGTCTTGTATTCTACCTATGTAAGGGTGAGCAGTACAAGGAATATACATGGTAGCAAATTTACTGATTATGCCACTCACACTATTTAAGTGTAATTAATTTACTTACCAGGGTATCAATAGTTAAATCAGTCCATATTTTCAGCCCACGCATATGAAATAACAGTCCACGTAAGAAGAAAAAAAGCAACAACATGGAAACTGTGTCGGAATGCAAAGAGGTGCTAACCTTACTATTGTCGGTACTATGCTTACAAAAACTTCGCAAAGCATCATGTATGTAGCAGCACCCTTAAGTTATCCTACCAACTTCTTTATTACAAAATCTTGTCTGAGTCTAAGACCTTGTTTACATGGAGTGGGGGGCCCCGGTCTAGTGGGGTAAGTTTCTTTTGTTTTGTGTCCCCCAGAGCGTGAAAACAAAAGAAACCAACTCCACTAGACCGGGGTCCCCCACTCCATGTAAACAGGCCCTAATATAACACACAATAATTTCCCACATGAGAAAAATGAGAAATCAGTGTAAACTTTTCTTGGTTATTGTTTTCAACTCTAACTTATGATCAGTCGAAATCTTTTGATACAAAAATACCATATATCAAAATGGAGTTTAAATACAGTTTATTTCATAAACTGTCTTTCTATAGTTTTATGGATTTTCTGTGTGAAAATGAAATCGTTCATATGTGAGGAAAGAGTGCTGCCCCAAAACAGAAGAAACACCTAACCTTGTGCTGTACGCACACAATGATAATTACAAAACCAAGTTAGTTCTTATCTAAACAAATCCCTGTAAACAGAACCACAGCTTAACAGCAGGTTCTGCATTTTCCAACTTGTTGTATTAACAACTGTTTCTTTTTGGTATAGTTAGTAGAGGAGACTGGTTATAAAAGGTGGAAAACATCAAAGATAAAAGCCAACACTGCTGCAGTTTATGTTGGGAGATCCTTGATGGTGCACAATACATTGTTATTTGTTCAAAAATTGTGACGGAATAAATTAATATGATGTTTTATTGGTCAATAAGATCAAAATGATAAGAAGGCTATTGAATGTTGTGCACCTTCAAGTCCACAAAAACATAGACCAGGAGTCTGACATGCTTCATAACCATTCCACTCTATTAACAATGCTTTTTGGTACTTCTTATAAAAATGTGACTTCGTACATCTGGCTGCCCCTAACCTCCCCCCCCCCCAAAAGGATTTTATTATCTCCAGATTAGACGTAAAAATATATCAGAGACAATGAAAAACTGACTGACCATGTTCAAAACACAAGTCGTGCAACTCTTATACATTTCTGTCATCTTTAAGAGTAGACAGAGGAAAATACCATTGTTTTGTTAAATAGACTATTTTTAGTTGGTATTATAAAATCAATAATCCTTAGGATTGTCAGGCGTGGAGGAACTCTCCTTAGGAGTTTTGCTGTGGTTTGAAAAGGATGACATTTTTCAAATTCGTTTTATTTCCTTTTCATTAAATAGAGCCAGGTTTTTAAGAACCTTGTGGTACACACCTAAACAATGTATCTCCATGCCTCTGACAACTACTAGACTGGTTAGTACACTTACTACAACACAAGATGAATGAAAGTTTTGAATTAGAGCGTATACAGCTGTGTGTCTCTAAAAAGAGGCATTCTTTCTTCAGCTTTACGTGAGCTCCAAATTGATCCACATCGTCCAAAGCAAGTCTTCCTTCTATACAATTCCACTGAAGACACACTCAAGGCGTCCAGATCTCTGAATTCAAAGTCAGCCTTTTCTGTCTTTTTTCTTTTACTATAAATCCACTTTCGAGCCACAATCACAGCTACAGCAATCAATAAGATGCACAGGACAAAGAGCGCTACAATTATTCCTGTTAAAGATGTTCTTCTGTGGTTGTGTTTAGGAGCTGGGATATCACCTAAGAAGGACAGACAACTCTTTTAGCTTTAACTCTTATAGTTCATTGCAAATACCATTTAAGTATATCTAATAACTTGTCAAAAATTCTGCTCCTGGCATGACACAGTAGATGTTTTGAGTTATCACTTGTTGATAAAATTACAGAATGCTGTCTCGATCTACTTGATCAGCAAGGAGTTCTCAATAACATCATAATAAAGTGCAATCTAAGTAGAAGATGACAATCATAAATGTCTATCTTTTTTTAAACATCGATGTAAAATCGTTGCTCAATCCAGTCAGCCATCATAACACAACATAAACTTTAGAGTTATTTGCCACATGAACATGGACAGGTCTCCCTTCAACCTTTGTACATTATTTAAGTCTGAAATTTTAGTCTACAGGTACTATCATTGATCTACAGCTTGGTGTAGGAATATTGTTAACTACTGGAAATCAAGAAAGCAAGGCTGAAACCGTGAATGTCCATAATCATTTCTCCCCTCACTAAATTTACTTGTTGATATTCGACCCAGTCAGTTTAAAATGGGCCCAGTCTGGCACAATGTTTGTGCAAGAACCCTTCACAGGTAACATACCTCCAGGAATCTGTACCATAAGAGATGTGTTGGTACCACTGACATCATTCATAACTCCAATATTAACACAATACTGGCCAGCATCATTAAATCTGTGATTCACTATTAAACTACAAGAGTTTCTGTACTCCATCATAGGACTGCATATTTCTCCTGGGGGAAGATGGCATTGTTTGGTGACACACCAGTGAAAGGAAACAGGAAGACTGTTGAAAAAGATGACGGAAATGAAATTAAGATGAGTGTAGTAATTAACACTGACACATTATTTGCAGCTCATGATAAATATTTGCACTAAAAACAAAGATCACAACACTACTGGGGTCAATACTGAATAAACCTTACGCAAGCATAATTTACTAGTCCTGAAGCTAAAATGCTGTTTTCAAACTCAAAACAAAAGCTACACCTGAAAATTACTTCAGTGAAGCCAACTCTGGTAATGATCTGACAAAAGGTCTTACAACTTACTCAGTACAACACAGGTAGTCTTATTAAACATGACGTCAAAGAGCAATATTTGTTCTAGAAGAAGTTGTAGAGCAATAGAAAGTACTTTTACCGCTTTCAGTATAGATTTGCTCATGTATTGGCAAATAGACAAACAGTCTCCAAGTAATGCCAAATAATTTGGCAATCAAAAAATCCAGTTTAAATTATTAAAAGGTTCTTTAAGTATTAAAATGAGATTATAAAACTCTTCCTGTTATTAAGTCTGCAGTGGCAGATCCATATTTTTAGATGAGGGGAGGGGGGGGGGGACTCGGTCATCAGGACCCTGAGATAAAGGGGGGGCGGTCTCAAAAAAATTTTTTTTCAGCCCCTCAGGCCTCAGTATGGTTTAAAAATGAGGGGGTACCAGGGCCCTCCCCTGGATCCGCCACTGGTCTGTGAACCCTGGTGAGTTGATTTGAGAACAAAACACTCAAGTGTCAAAGAGGATTGTAGTAAAAATAACTTGCCTTCCATTGCAAGAAATGTTAAATCTCACTGTCTTGTCTTTATGTTCAAGATGTCTGTGTCTCACTTTAAGGTATACAGGATCTGTAACATAAACAGCAAAGCAATAATTTTGTTCCGTGTTTCTTTGTGTTGTGAAAACTATTGTTGGTTCACTTTTGTTTTTGGCACATGGGTATTGTTCCATGTCTTTTTCAGTCTTCTGTATTACAACATTTGGTTATTGCATCCATCTGCAACATCAAAACACTACCATTTTGTAGCACCTCAACATATTTCATTTGGCTTGTTAGTGAAAAGCACAGGCTAACAGGGAACAGAATAATAATTAACAAAGTGCAAACTCTCTAACAGTGCATGAGAGGCAATGATAACAGGTAGAAGAGCCTGGAATATTTCCAAACTCTTACATTTTATGGTCCAAATGCGATTGCATAAAAAAAAATTTACATTGCAAAATTGTGAAGCACATCTACCAACCTTTCACATAGAGATGCCTTAGAACTGCTGGAAATGATTTCTTTCCCAGAAACTTAGTATTAACTCTGACAGTTAACCAAATGGAATATTTTCCTTCTTTATGGAATGTATGAGAAATTCTTCTTTTGCTCCACCTGACCACAGGTTTGGAACCATCACCAAATTTCCAGTCAGTAGAAACTCCTGTTATTAGATTATAAGGATCTTTAAAATTTACTTCAAACTCAAGAGGAATGTCTGTAGGGAATGCATTTTGATGATTAGAAGGAAGCTTAGGCCCAGAAGAACATTTGATCACCAGGTGCAAATGAATATCATCTGAAAAGAACAAAAGGTTTTATGAACTTATAGACCATAAAATAGGCCATTTTACAAGTACAAGTTTACAAAAACAAGGGTTAGTGCACAACCTTTCTTAAGAAAATTAGTTATTTTTTCATGAAATAAAACATCTTTTTCATTTCCACGGCTTTGCACTTAGCTTCACTCTGAAACAAAGGATTAAGGCAATTTGAAAATGACCTATTCCATTACATCTGCAATGCAGGCAATAATCCAATATCCCCTTCTGAAAGCCCCTGAAATCCATAATGCAATATGGGGAGTTGATGAAAATATCAATAAAGTATTAAGTATTAATTTTCATTGTTGATTATTGATATTGTTACCAAGTCATAAAACATAATAATAGCCCCTATGAGCTTCCTCTTGTTAGTTCACAGCTGATGTTATATTATTCCAGTTTGCACACCAAGTAAAGATAAGCTACATGTATTTATCACTTTAAGGCAAGCAATCTCCAGCTATGTAAAAACAGGTAAGCAGACAACTGGTCTAGACATTGCAAAAGAAAATCACATACCTGTAAATTGCAATGTTTTATTGGCCTTTCCTTTGTAAAGCTTTCCCTGAATCCATCCATGAAGATTGACCACTATTGTACAAGATTTGACTGTTGTAAAATTGTGAATCACTTTCTGCAAGTGAGAGCTTGTGAAGTTTGTTCCATCACCAAAATTCCAGTCATAGGTGACATTGCTAAGATTTTGGTGTGTAAAGTTGTGAATTATGACCTCCAAGGTCACTGCTCCGACATAAAGCTTGTTCTGATCTCCTTTAAGAGAAGCATTCTGATATGCAACCAAAGTTGCAATAATCTTGTCTTCACCTGTATTCAGAGACCAACATACATCATGAAAATCATTTTCCACCTAACCTAAATTATAATAATTTCAAAAATGAGATACAGTGTTTTTGTCCTATATCTAGATATCAAGAAACAAGTCACATATTTCAAGTCTTTTTAAACTGATGCTGGAAACACTGTGTTGAATGTTTCATATAATAGCTATTAAAGGGACAATAATATGTTGTCTTGAAGAAATTTATTTGGACTAGTATGCCTAAAAAACTTATTCAAAGCTGGAATTTTTTTTTTCTTTTCACTATTCATGCATATATGGTTTCAATCAGTAGTGTGTATTTACAAAACAAAAACAGTAAACAAAACAAAACACAAATTAAGAAATGTTGAAGGACAAAATTTATTCATCTGATGTCCAACAACAAATTAAACTTGTGGCTGCATAATTGAAGGGCTCCATTAAAAAAAGTCCTCTCCAAGAAGGAAATGAGGAAACCAAGGGAAGTGTCTGGACTGAATGTGTCATACAGCTGTAGGTGTGTGTCACGGGTATGTCACATGATAAAGAAGGTCATTCATATGGGCCAGGAAGAAGAGCAACTTTGAACTTGTTTGGTAAGTCAGTCTTTTACTGAACCATATTATGAAAAGCGTCCCTTGAAAAATAAGTTTCTGAAAATACCACAGGCGTACCATCCAAACTATTTGAGACATTGTGATGTCACGCGACATGTGATCCCATACATTTACTTAATTTTGTAACGCCCACACTTGGCTTGATGCAAGTGATTGGTAGAAATGCTTCATAAAACACAGAATTTTGCACCTTTTGACCCCAAATGTTGATATAATGTAAGAAAAATGAATAAAGATAACTACAGTACGATTTAAGTGTTGTGTTCTACATTTTTGTGGCATTTTCAGTTGCTTGAAAATGTTGATATAGTGTAAGAAAAATGAATAAAGATTACTGCCATATGTTTTTAATGTTGTGTTTTTTGCTTGAAAATGCCACAAAAATGTAGAACACAACACTAAAAACATACGGTAAGTTATCTTTATTTATTTTCTTACATTATATCAACATTTGGGATAGAAAGGTGCAAAATTCTGTGTTTCATAAAGCATTTCTACCGATCACTTGAATCAAGCCAAGTACAGGCGTTACAAAATAAAGTAAATGTATGGGATCCAGGGCTGCCATTAAGAGCTGGGGGCTGGGAATTTCCCTCAGCTACTATGAACATGGTCCTCGGTTACTCTCATAGGAAAGTAGAAGAAAAATAGAGCCAAAGAAAATCCCTAGCTTTTTGATTCCCCACCTACTGGTCGTATTTACCCGGCAACTTGAAATCTTCATGACATCCCTGATGGGATCACATGTCCCGTGTGACATCATGATGCCTCGAACAGTTCAGGATGGTCCGCCTGTGAAAATACCAGGAAGTTCAGATTCTCCGTAATTGTGGCTTAAAATAATATTGTTTTCTTTAGGGTTCACATTTTTGAGATATTGGCCTGGAGTAAATTTTCCAAATCAAATTTATGAAAAAAAAAAGAAAAGAATCAATCTAAAGCCACAATTTAAGTGATCTCTGTAGTTTCTGGTATTTTCAAAAAGTTACTTTTCAAGGCACGCTTTTACGGAATAAGGGTTGATAAAGAAACTGACTTTCACATTTGAAGAGTTGATAGAACCTCACCATCAGATTCTCTAACTGTGACCTTTGTCTCGTTTGTAGCGAAATATGAACTGTATCCTGTGAGGTGTCTTTGTTTACGCGCTAAATCGTTGCCATTCCCATCAAAAATTCGCACATATACAAAAATCGTATGATCCCCCGCTTCAGTCCACCGCCACTGAAAGTTATCCCATCTTCGTGCAGTTCTTTTGTGTTTTAAAATTACCCATGGCTTTGAAGAAACTTTCCAAGAAAACTCGAAATTGACTCTTTCGCTCGCATTAAGACTTGTCTTTGCGTCAGGTTTTGTGACAACCACAGCGTTGAATGTTGTTATTTCTCCAACTTTTCCAGTCCCGACGCCTCCAATTAGCACTTTGATGTCTCCATAATGACTACAGAGTATTTCAGAGGGAAATATAACGACTGCGAGGGCACCGAAACAGAAAAATGCATGCAGCAGCATATCTTTGACAGGGTCCGGTAGTGCAGTAGTTTCATAAGGACAATCAACCAGCACGCTTCATCTTACATGTGACTTTTTTACGCAATGAATTGGATTTTGCCCCCAAGTAAAGATGATACTTCCGGATGAAAGTAGCAATATAGATCATGTAAAAATACCATATACAAAAACACAGCCGCTCCCGAGCGAAGTGAACACATCAGGGATTCTCACATGAAGTATTTAGTTACCAGTCCTTTTGGCCTACAAAACAAAGATGTCTGTCGCAACATCAGGAGGACCATCGGTCGTCAACAGGCTCGTCAAGTTATCCGCCTTAACCATTATTCACCAGGATGGGTCTTTTTTCGAACGATGTGACTTGAGTACTTTGCCAAGAACTGTTCTGCAAGAACTTCTTGTGGCTTCCGTTTCTCTTTCGCGAATTCTTGTTTTCAGAAGTTTAATTGTTAACTGGCCGCTCGAGCAAGTTGTTCTTCAGAAAGTCTCAGGCTTCGACGAACCAAAAGCGGTTCTTCTCGCTTACTGTTTGCAAAGAACGCAAAATAGTGTAAAGCTTATAGACATACGAGGATGTAGNCCATTATTCACCAGGATGGGTCTTTTTTCGAACGATGTGACTTGAGTACTTTGCCAAGAACTGTTCTGCAAGAACTTCTTGTGGCTTCCGTTTCTCTTTCGCGAATTCTTGTTTTCAGAAGTTTAATTGTTAACTGGCCGCTCGAGCAAGTTGTTCTTCAGAAAGTCTCAGGCTTCGACGAACCAAAAGCGGTTCTTCTCGCTTACTGTTTGCAAAGAACGCAAAATAGTGTAAAGCTTATAGACATACGAGGATGTAGTATTGGTGAGTTTGATGAAAAGAGAGAGGCCTTTAAACCTTCTAAAGTATTCCTTATATTTGTGTTCAATTAAGTTCACATGGCTAATAATAACATCTATCTGACAAATAAGTCACCCATCCCAATTACTTTTTAATAGGAAGGCACAATATTGTACTGTGTCTAAGTCAATTCCTTAATTCTATACTTTGCACAGAAGCGTGAAGATTACTTGGCTGACGAGCCATCTCTGGTTTCTGTACACAGCACTTGTTCACTAGTCTGCTACTTTTGCAGACCAGAGAAATGACTTCACAGTGTTCAACCACTTTCATTTCATTTTTTTTCTGTAGGCTTTCAAGGGACCACGGCATTTTGTAAGCTGGCTGTCAATCTTCCAGTTTCAGACAGTGATGTCTCTGGAATGAAAATTTTAGACATGCGCTCTTCAAACAATTTGTTCAAACAGAACAATATAGCGACAGATCTTCCCAAACGAAGAATTCCTCCCGTGGTTGTGATGCTTGATGCTGTTGTTGATGCTAAAAACTGTGCCCTTGCAATTCAAGCTTGCACTAATCATTTATTCATAGAGTTGAAAATGTCACATGTAACAATGCATGAAGTTCCAGGAGGAAGGGACATCTATTCTCTTTTAACAACTTTAGAGGTGGGTTGATCATATTACAGTGACTGAATGTCCTGTTGGCAGGCCACACCCCTTTTACACTGGTTAGACATAGTGGCATGTGTGAAGGGGTGGAGGAGTACTCATATGTGCTACTATAAAGGATATGGTTCTTAAATTAAAAGAGTGGAAAAGCTAACTACTGGCTTATCAAAAGGGATTATAATTTTGACCAGAAAAATTATTAGAGGTAACATCCCGTCTGAAGTAATAACTTGAGGTGGCAATTTCACGACAATTGAAAACATATGTCAGGCAGAAACTCCCTCAAACTAGAAATAATAAATATTGTAAGGTGTTGCTGTAAATGCTTGAGTCAGTGCCCTACATTAGGCTAAAAAACAAACCAAGTGCCTCTTTCAAATAAGAACTTGAGGATAGCAAAAGAACCTGATAACAAGATATTATAAACCAAGAAAATGTTCAAAAAACAAACACACAAATTTGGGTTTACACTTACAGATGATCCTTGTTGTCCTGTTCACTAATTAAGTTTTCAATCATTTTAAACAAGAACAATTTTGTTGTTACATGTTGAGGCTGAAATTCTGAAGATGTATAGATGTATAGCTACTAGGTAGAAAAGCTGTGAATAAACCGCTAAATTATTACTATTATTATTATTATTAAGAACAAACTAAGCACCCCCTACAAATAACTGCCCCCACCCTCTTGCCTGAAAGGGGTACCATTTTTAGGCTTCAGGTATATGAAAGGGTTGGGATTTCACAAGTTGAATTTTTTTATGAAAGGGTAGGGGAAATCTGTCATTCTGTTCTGTAAAAAGGCCCAAATGGACTGACAATCCACTTTATGGCTCTGAAAAAGTTCAAGAAACATTCTGTTTTTGTGATTTATTAATATAATTTTTAAGACAGTTCATTTATGGCAGTTACAAGGGATCCGGGGGGGGGGTACTTTAGGAATTTCTGGGTGGGGATGTGCCGCTGGGACCCGGGAACCCTTAACCTATACCAGAGCTAGTTCAGCTAATATGTGCTACCCTATACTAGAGTAAACTCCCCAGATCCCCCCTATCCTAGAGTAGCTGTTTCCCTAGTCTAGATAAAATCTTCAACCAACTGATCAGTTTCCTGAAAAATGATACCCTTTTCTAGACCCAAATCTTTTGATTTATATACCCTATCCTAGAGTAAACTGCTTGAAAACCATACCCTTCACAGCGGCACATACCTATAAAGCCCATATATAGCAGTACCCCCCGGGCAAGGGATCCAAAATTCTCAACTAGGTATGTGAAAGGGGTACCATTTTTCAGTAGAAGGTATATGAAAGGCCTGGGTACATTTTCTGTCAAGAATGGTATGTTAAAGGGTAAGGGGTTGGACCTCAGTACGGAGCCTCGCTGTATAAAACTTTGTTGAGTGCCCCCCTCTGTGTGTGAAACACTAAGCATGTAATGTATTAAATTTTTCTTTCAGCCTGAATTCACCACAGGTCTTGATCTGTCATTGAATGGTTTACAACAGCAGGGAATCCTGTCTATCTCACCAGCACTGCTGCCTCTGACAAATCTCATGGAGCTCAACCTTTCCTACAATATGATTGGTCACAGAGACACATGTGCTATTCAGCAGGTAGCAACAATGTGCAGTAACCTGAGAAGACTGAAAAAACTTGACCTGTCTGGTAATTACATCAAAGCAGGAGTTGGCATTATTCTTCAGTGTTTGCAGTCAAATCTCACACATCTGGCACTGAGCGGATGTGGTGTTGAAGAAGGCAACCTTCATAAAATGTGCTCNCTGTATAAAACTTTGTTGAGTGCCCCCCTCTGTGTGTGAAACACTAAGCATGTAATGTATTAAATTTTTCTTTCAGCCTGAATTCACCACAGGTCTTGATCTGTCATTGAATGGTTTACAACAGCAGGGAATCCTGTCTATCTCACCAGCACTGCTGCCTCTGACAAATCTCATGGAGCTCAACCTTTCCTACAATATGATTGGTCACAGAGACACATGTGCTATTCAGCAGGTAGCAACAATGTGCAGTAACCTGAGAAGACTGAAAAAACTTGACCTGTCTGGTAATTACATCAAAGCAGGAGTTGGCATTATTCTTCAGTGTTTGCAGTCAAATCTCACACATCTGGCACTGAGCGGATGTGGTGTTGAAGAAGGCAACCTTCATAAAATGTGCTCCCTCAAAACACTTGGGCATTTAAAGTCTTTAAGGCTGGATGGCAATGGATTAGCAAACTACGTTGATCCTTTGTGTAATTTCATCATCAAATCAGCCAGAACACTTGAGCATTTATCAATAGAGGACAATATGTTAGATTCATCCAATGTAACACCTCTTTGTCAGATGGTAAAACAGCTGAACTCACTAAAGATGTTGTCATTGTGTTACAATCATCTTTTACCTGATGACATAAGAACATTCAGGGAAGAGTTTCCAGCACTTGAGATAATTAACAAAGACTGGCTGTTTTAATAATTGACATAATGATCATTACTGCATAGTTAAAAGCTAGCCTGAGAAAACAGCCAACATTTTACAGTGCCACCACTAGCCTGTACGCAGACATGGTTTTATTTTTCTTTCTGTTTTATTTTTGATCACGTGCACTCGACGGACTTTGGAGAGAAAATAGAGGGTCTGTGAACAGGCTATGCCACCACTGGGGTGGCAAACTGTCAGCTGTTTTCTCAATCTAAGCAAAAGCATTTTGTACACATTTGATGCTACCAGGAACAAATGAAACAAGACCTGAATTAAATGTGTATAATTTATGATGCAAGGATGTTAGTAAGACCTGGGGATTTCCCCTGGCTACTTTCACTGAAAATAAAAGGAAAAAAACTAAAAGAACTTCCTAGCTGTTCAGTTTCCTGCCTACCATAAATCACAAAGTAATTAAAACACTTGACAACTTGTGACAAAATTCGTCATTAATTCAGGGAGGACTGCCCAACAACATGGCCTAAAAACATTTGCTCATCTGTTATCTGTAGAATAGTCAGGAAACCACTTTTCAGCATTTAGATGAATGTTGAGTGCATGTGAGTGCTACATTTCTAGAAATGTCAGATTTACACACATCTCAAATACTATTAGTAAGAAGTCATTAATTTTATTTCAAAGAACTACATACAGTGAACACAGTCTTGCATTTGTTTTTTCACTACAACATACCTTTTGGACACCCTTTACCCCCTTGCTAAAAAGTTCAGACAGCAAGACTTTTCAGACAAAGGAACTAGACCTATTGTTGTTTAGTTTTAGGATACTTCACAGGTGAGTGAGAAGAGTCAAAGTGAATATCCATCTTTCAATAATAACCAGCTCTTCACTTTAAATAACAAACTCTTGTCTAAACAAATTCTTCTGAAACTGCTTAAGCTTTGCATCTTGAATCTAGAGAGTGTCTGTAAAGAGGGCTAAACTTTGGCCATGCACCTACACTGATATGGTACAGGAAAGAAGCTACATTTGTACAAGTTTGTGCACCATCTCCTCCTTGGTAATGAGATGGGTTGTACGATTTAAAAGTTGCATTAGAGTGTTAAGATTGTGTGACCACTCGTTTAGAATTTCATTAGATTCTTTGTGGGCACTGAAACTGACAATGCCAGCAGGTCGGTCAATTCTTGCAAACACTGTTTTGGATACCACTAGCTCAGAAAGGAACAGCTCAGTCTCCTGATAATGTAAGAATGCAAAAAAAAATATTAGGGGACAAGACTGCAGACAGTTGACTTAAATTCAATTAACCTTAGAAATTTGGTTTGTTATACAGCTCCCCTCATTTTCAACGCATTTTTAATTGGTCCTGTACTAAGTGTTTTTGGCTACATTTGCTTTCATATAATTTACTTCATCGTGCTTTTCTTTTGAGAACAAGGCAACAGAATCTGCCCATTCTTTTGTAAATAACAGTCTTGTCAAAACAAAACTTCAAAGAGATTGAAGTCTTGTGAACTCTCAGGGACCCTTGCTCATAGTCAGACCTCTGGATGAGTTCACAGAAGCATGACAAAATCTGAAATTCACATTCAATAATCTAGCATCACTTTCAATATTTCGAGTACTGAGAAGGAGAAAATATAATGTGAAATTGTAGGTATAAACTTACATCTACACTGAGATCCAGCAACTGGCTCATCCTTTTCAAAGTTATTCTAGTGTAGTATTTAGCCATTACTCTGATGTTCTGGAAAGAAATCAATGAAAATTTCTGAGTAAAACGTAAGGATTTACATGAATCTAAGAGCTTTACAACAGATTCATTTGGGGAGAAAGCATGGCCTAGTGGGGAGAGCACTTGCCTCCCTTCAAGGTAATCCAGGTTCAGTTCCCAGTATTGACTCCTGACTTCATAAATCAACTTTTCCAAAATAATTCAAATTCAATTTAGTAAGTGTCTGCAATAGACCTTTTTACCGATACGGCAGCCATATTGAATTTTTCCCAAGAAATACACAGTGAAAGACCATATTTCTAATACTAAACTAGAAAAAGGCGATCATTATTACATCCAAACAAGGCACAAGGATCTTTTTTCCAATTACAATCTTATTCTAAGTAAACTTAAAAAGTCCCGAAATGCACTTGAAAATACAAACGAAATGTGCTCATGCCCCCCTGGGCATCCTATAATACTCCTTAAATTGAATTAATAATTAATTGACCGATACGGCGGCCATATTGAATAATTTAATATGGCCGCCGTATCCGTAAAAAGGTCTATTAGTTGGGGACATTATGAGAGCCACAGATTAATCAGTTCTTTAAACTGTCAAGTGTACTGACCCTCTCTAAATAAAGTTTGTATGGTTTTCTGGTTTATTATTATGAAACTACCAATGAAAAAATGTTAAGTTTAAGGAAGGGGTAGGAAGGCATGACAAGTTCAGGAAAACCATAGTCAAATTTCCATCCCTAAGAGTTTATGTGTATGTGGTAGTTAGGAAAGTTGGGCTTATACATGTCGTTTCTCAATATTATTATTGCAGTAAAATTTGGAAGGAAGTTAATGTTAGTGTATCATGTACATTTAAACACCAAGAAGGTTGTGGGATTTTTTTTCTCAACACATTTTTGTTGTGAGAGGTATTTCTGCAAGGTCACTTAACTATTAAAATCCTAATTTTCAGATGTTTTGTAACTTTCCATTACATTATTAATAAGGCAATTTCAAATACACTAATGCAATATGATTTTAGATATTTGCAGTTTAATCAGAATACATGTAAGCTACATCATTAATTTTGGACTCGAGACACTCCTGAAGGTACGTGGTAACTTTAAAGTGGATTATGATTAACACCATTTGCAAGCACATGTACTTAAAAACTCACATGTTCCACAACCCTTTTTCTCAAGTCTTCCCAGCGCTTATTGCCTTCATCAGTTGCTGGTTCAAACACGCCGGTAGCAGAAGTGCTTGTTCTCAATTCAGACTCATACAGCTCTTTAATGTAGGACCAGCGCATCAGCTCAGCAGTGGTAAAGCACTTAAGAAGATCCCTAACAGAAGGATTGAGACCAATTAATATTGTCATATTTTAATAACGAAAGCTACGTTGGACTATGCAGTATTATTGTATATTTTAACACAGTATTCCCAAAGTTTAAAAAAACATGAAAAAACAAAAAAAACATCAAGTCTCATTCAAAGGGCAGAGCTTGAAATAATTTAGTGGATGGGGCTGATCAGGTTGTCTAGTCAAACCTACTTTTGCTAACACAAAAGTCCTTTTAAGGCAGGCAAATTTTAAAGGAAGCTTTGCATTAAATCATTTATTTTATCAAAGATCTTGATCTGGTGTTATCTTTCTTTTCCCTTTTTTCTTGACAAATGCCAAAAATATCCAACCTTAACTGCAATTAAAATCTGAAGTTTTGAATTATTTTTTTTATCAGATGAGTAAATGACCAGACAAAATCAATGTCTATTTTTAACTGGCCAACATTTAGCGATGTCACCACTGGTTTCCCCTTGAAATGACATCTGAGAGACAAGGGCACAAATTCCATACTGATGAAGCATTACCATCCAGATCTGAGCAGTGATGCGTCATCAGTATGGAATTTCTTTGCACATTTCTCAGATGTCATATCACGTGGAAATCAGTAGTGGCATCCCAAAATGTTGGCTGTTTTCTCAAGCTAATTTTTGACTGGACACTGTCCATGACCCCAAGTGGCACCTGATCTAATACCACATTCTCCTCTTGATTCACAAGAATGCACACTTGGCAAACTGTAAAGAGAATTTGTCACTTTATCAGAAGCCAACTGATGCTTTACTCCACATATCCCTTCATTGTCATGTTGCAAGAACATGTTGTGAAGTGTTGTGCAAGATTTTTTTTATACTTTGTGCTTCTTTCTGGACAAAATATCCCTTCAATTAGGAAATAATACTGACTGAAGAAAATCAAAGCTAACAGCTCTTCATTCACAGAACCAGACATTGGGCAAGCTGCTTGATTATTAGGGGAAAATTAAAATATTATACACACTGAACTTTACCGAAATTATAGCACAGATGTAAGTTAGAGAACTTATATCAAGTTGGTGTTGTTGGTATATTATTGGTATTCATGTACCTGTAAAGAGGGATCTCATCTAACGTTTTCTCCTCACCGACACGGTGAATAAGGTCAGACTGTTCATTATCATAAGGAGCAAGGATGAGAAACAGTACTGCATTCTTTAAAACCTGCAGAAAAATAACCAAACAAACAAAAATGAGTTTTGAGTTTGTAAGCATCAGTACACACTTCCAGAGTTCAATCCAGCAGAGACATTCATCTAAAGCCCACTCACTCAATATTTTGTATGTAGCAGCTGCCTAAGTCAAATAAGAGCCTGTTAATAATATTATTTGGAGTAATATTTATTTGTACATGTATTTAAATAAAAATTGAAAATTAGGCCCTTTTAACCTTATGATTCTTAAATAATAACAAAAAGATAATGACACAGAAATGTCATTTTTCATCCTCACCTCATGTTTCTGGGCTTTGTCCTCCAAAACAGATGGTGTGTCAAACATGGCTCTGTAATATTTACAGATATCCAGATAGCTACCATCATGCCGAGCCACCTCTATCATTAACTGATAAAACTTTAATTTTAAATCCTGAAACAGGAAAAATACTAGTCAAAGAGTTTCTTATCTCCCACTATGTATAAATGATGAATTCTCTTACTTTCTGTGGTTTCAGTAACCTACTATATCTGTGAGTAATTGAGGAATTCAGAAAGTTTATCCTTATTATCTGTAAGCTTGAATCATAGTGCCTGGAAGACACATTTGTTTGTCATGAAGAAGGAATTTGTCAATAAGAAATAACTTCTGCCTTAACTTTACTTATAAGCATGTAATGGGCAAAAATAAACAACATGGACTCAAATGTCATGACAAGCTGTCAGTTGAAGCATACACCTGTACATTTGAACGGTCATTGTGTGGTCACTTATCATCCAATTACAGTTGAGGTACATGATGTCTGTAGAAACTACAGCTGTATGATGATTCTGTTCAAGGGGATATACTCCCTAACAACTACTCTGTCTGAAGAAAGACTCATGTTCACAGCTAGGTTCATTTTTTCAATTTGACCCTTTTTCAGTAAATTGTACGCTCAATATAAAATGAACGATTATTGCAAGGTTCAAAATTAACAGTAACCTGTCAACCAATGGTTAGTAGTTTCCAATGTTTTGTTAAAAATGTGCCCAAGTAACCAGACATGGTTAGTAGAAAGTTCCTTTAAATTAAGTATTGTCAGTTTATAGAAGGCTGATGTTTTACTTTTCTGCATAAGATTGTTTTTTATCCCCAACAATTTGTCGTTCTAATTTAAGATATGCTTGCAAAATAATCAAAGAACACGAAAAATAAGTATTTCACAGAATTCAAGGTAACCATGCCTTTGTTTCTTGGGGAGATCTACATGTAAACACAACCTTAATAACTACCATCTTGCTCGTTGCTGTGTTTGTTTTGTTTTCTTTCAAAAGTGGCTCATTTGTGCAACCTATTCATTACACAAATCAGAAGCATAGATCCTTGGATAGTTTTCTTTCAGATAAGGTCACTGCCCAAAATTTGTAAGAAGGAAATGGAAGATCAAGAAAATCAACAAAGAACAAGTACAGTTTCAAACACTACAGAAGGCTTCAGAAGCAGTATGAAGTAAAGCAAAAACAAGATGCAAGAATTTTCCGCCAAATATGGAAAAAAGGCATTCACCTAGTCGATGAGGTTAAAAAAATGTTTTGCAGTGTATGCGTGAATTTCTTATCCTCACATAATGTAATTGAAAAGACATGTAAATGACCTTTAAATATTCTATTAATAACAAGTTACCTGCTCTTGGTTGTTCTCAAAGACCTTTGGGCTGATCTTCTTGCTTATAATCTGTGTTCTAATGTAGTCCTTCTTTGCCAGACACAGTCTCATTTGCTCCAAAATGAATTCCACCTTTTCCCGTCTTTCCATTGAGCCATATGTCTCAACCTGTTCAAGCAAAAACCGTCTACATTAAGAGCAGAACCAGCATATTTTTTAATATGGACCTTCTTTCCAAGTCTGTCTGCAAAACCTCTCCAAAGAGACCATACTAGTGCTAGTACCCGAGAGTTGGACACAGGACCTAGTCTGAACAGGGGTGAAGAGGTGCTGACCACTAGTCAGAACTGACCGGCTACACAAGTCCAGTCGTAAAGAGAGTTCCACTATTAGTCAGGAATGCTGGTCACATCAGTTTATTCCTAAATGGTATGCAGGGCAGCAATGGGTTTCTAGCAAAAACTTTTGAAAAAAGCATTTTTCATCTTCAAAATTATCCACCTGCCTGGCTAGTGTGGACTATTGGTAAATGCACTAAGAGACAGAGACGTTTGGAGCACAAGGATTGTGATATCTTACCTGAAGTTCCTGAAGAATGGTGGCTGCCTCTGAAAGAAAACAAATGAAACAGTTAGCAAGGGAGATTCTTGGAAGTAATTGTCTCATAAATCTGTTCTTTTTGTCTGTGAAAAAATATTACAGCACACTAGAGTGAATACTTTACTTTAGGTTTGTTTCACCTATGTATAAGGGTTTTTGAGCGCTGCTGTTTCATTGAGAAAGGGTAAAATGTAAACTGAGATAAGTTCCATAAAGTATTTAAGTAAACACTGTTGCTTCACAGTGTAACTTACTTTGCTCTCAGCAAAGATATAGTTATGGTCCAATAACAAGGAAAAGAATAAACAACTTGAAAGAAAAGATGGTGTAATTAACTACCTGCTATGTCACCTTGGTCTTCCTTGATTTTAGCTAGCATTCTTGTCAAACGAGCCCTCTCTATCTCAACATATATCTACATGTGCCATAAAAATGACTTGTTAAGCAACACATACAGTGAAACATGTATCGTGAAGACACCCACAGGAACCTCCATAGTGACTACCTAATAGAGGTGTACTCTCAAGGCTGGTTTGTTTTACCAACATATGCAACCGAAAGTAAGTGAATTTTTGCTGCTAGTGTCTGCCTTTTATAGGGTGACTGCTTGATGGGGGGTCCATTTAATACAGGTTTTACTGTAGCTGTAAAGCATACTATACGTGTGACTGCAAAATCCCCATAGGGACATGTCTTACCAATAAGTTTCAATAATAAATAAAAAAAAATTGAAAAAAAGTTGAAAAAAAGTGTTCTGCAGTCTGAAACATTATGTTATATTGAAAGCATGTATTCTACAAACATGTATGTCTCTACTTTTTTGCCAGTCCAGTTTAAATACAGTGTCCAGCACTGTGTATTTATCAAGATTTGAAGTGTGTATGTTACTTGCATTCGTTCCCTATCCCATTTTCCTATTTCTGGTCATTTGCTTCGAACTCCTGATAACTCCTAGAAGGTTTGAGTTATTGGGAGGTGCTTAAAGTAACAAGGGTACATTTATATGGAAATGATCTGATGGGAAACAAAAATTTCTTAAAGTTAGCAGGAGGTTTGAGTTACCAGGCGTAAATTATAGAAAATGTAAGAAGGAAATCCACGGGAAATCAATTTTGGTTTGAGTTAGAGCGAGGTTCAAGTTAGCAAGGGTTCGAGTTATCAGGAGTCGACTGTAATGTAGTACTACTATCAAAATCGCCAAGATTTGTTTGTACCTTTCCAGCTGTGACTGTCCTGAGTGTATCTATCAGCTTCAGTTTGGTTTCCAGGTCTGGAGTCTGTTCTACATAGCTGAATGCCTCTTGAATCATTTTTGTTACAGCCTGAAAGGACATTATCAGAAATATAACGTTATTGGTGGGGAAGCAGAGATATAGTCACTTGTTGGTTAGACTCCCCTGGTTACTCAGACAAAACTTACATGGTCCATTCAGTGGCTTTATATGAGTAGGAAAAGTTTTGGGCACAAGAACAACTTCTGAAAAAAGGAGTTATCGGTACATTTTAAGGAGAGAGCAGAGAGCTGATAAAAAATTAGCCAAAATAAACTTATTGTATTTGATAAAACAGGAGAACCTAGGCTAACGAAATCCAAAAGTTGGAGTTCACTGATCTAGCTCTGATATTAGCTACACACGACAGTTCAATTTTCACTGAAAGAAATGAATAATACCTCTACAAACTAGGTATGCCTGTGGATCATGAGCCACTTTTTTGTTTTACCAACATGGTTTGTTAAAATGATGTATTTCTTATTTCAGGGAAACTAACCATGTCCTTTTTTTCATTTTCATAACATAAAGCAAAATTTTCTACTTCATTGTCAGATCAAGTAGCCTTCACTATGGGATCCAAGACCCATCTGTTAACTAAATGTAGAACAGTGAAGCCGATCACTACTTTATACAGTTATTGACATTCTGATCATTTTCCCAAATAATGTTATGAACATCTCATTGAAAAATGCAAAATGCTCCCCAAAGATTAGGTAGAATAAATTGCAGCCATGTCATGACTTTCCCGTACAAAATTTTTGCACAGATTACAATAGGATCATTTTTTTTTTGTCTGGGAAATAAAAAGTCTGGGACATCATCTGTGCAGAGCACCATTCCTCATACCTGTTTTAACTGGCTCCTTCTCTTTGTCAAGATAACAATGTGTTCATTAAGTGCATTCCAGTCTTTATTCTTAAAACAGAGTTGAACAATGCACACCAACACACGGCTTGTAGAATGCATATCAGCAGCCTTAAGGTGGAAGGGGCAAATGAAATCACATTAATCCCACAAAAACTAGGCATGTCAAATGATAAATCCACAGGGTATTCCTAAGCTCAACTCAATAGGGTCTCATTTAAGCTTCACTTTACACATTATCACATTAATCTAACAAAATTAGGCATGTCATATGATAAACATACAGGGTATTCCTAAGCTCAACTCAATAGGGTGTCATTTAAGCTTCACTTAAAAATAACAATATTTATTTATAATTTTATTCATTAATCTTACATACATGGGTTCAAGTTCACACATAGTTTTGATTTCAGGTTTTTTGCTCAAGTCACAATAATTAAAGGAGCTTATTGATTTTACCCAAACTAAAATGAGACAAGCAAAGACTAAGAACAATGTAGTTCAGTTAACCCATGACTGACCTACTAAGGCTATTGCTATTGAAAATAAAATGTTACAAATTTATTAATGCAAAATGACCTGAAAGGCATGAAAAACAAGAAAGCAGGAGCAAGTTACAAAGTCTCATGATATGACAATAGGTTGTAAACATAGGGAAATCAAACCAGAAAGCAGATGATACTCTATTTCCTTCTAGGCCACTAGAGGTATAATGTTTGAACACTGCAATGTTAGCCTTCAGCTGCATATTGCAACCCAACCCCAGCCAAGACTAATAGTACCAGATCTAGGGAAAGGGTTAAAGTGGTCCAGTTACCTATCCTCCATCCCTCTCCCTCTGTAAAGCACCCATAAGACCAGAGAATTACTAATGTTTAGGAATTGAATGGCAATGGCTATAGTTAAAGCTCTAGTGAGGCAAGAATCAGTTAACTAAACTATTCTTTGGACAGAGAAACACCCTGTAAAAAATGTGTATTCCATAAAAATCCCAACCGTAATTTAAAGAATTTCCTGAAAGCGCCCTTAAATTACAGTAGCTGTGTCACAGCTATCACTTTGGAGCTGTCTCTTTCCAAAACAGTCAAAGCAACTCCAGTGAACAAGGTTCCATGTTTCGGTCTCTTCATATAGAGTACATGTATGTGGATCTCAGTTTTAGGTGAATGGATGTTATCACAGTGTAATGTGTAAGTTAGTAAGAGTACAGAGAACTTTTCACAGTTGAGGATGACAACACATTGGTTGGCCAAAAATTTTGTACTAGGACATGTTTCTGATCAAGTGAGCAAAATACAACTAAGCTTGTAATGCCCTCTATTTTTTGCATGTTTACTTTCTCAACCCCAATGAATGTTTCAATAACTTTGGTTATCCCCTAATCCAAATTTTTTGTTTGTAAACCTTTCCTGGGTAAGAAAGCATAATTATTAAACATGCAGGACCCCGTATAAATGATGAAAGTCTTTTGTGTCTGGATTTGATCTTTGTCACCTCCAAACTACCAGCCTTCCAATCACGCACCCATCGTGGTTCTCACCCAAACACAGCGCTTGAAACATCCCACTAATCAGCGAAAAAAAAAACAGATACTAGATGTTTTGCAAGTGGGATTGACCTAATATAATATCAAAGGAATGGCTGTCTTGCCCTGGGTCTTTTCGTGCGGGTCAAAATAAAGACTTGACAAAGCCTGAAACTGCGTATGAAAAGACTCTGGCACCAANAGTGAACAAGGTTCCATGTTTCGGTCTCTTCATATAGAGTACATGTATGTGGATCTCAGTTTTAGGTGAATGGATGTTATCACAGTGTAATGTGTAAGTTAGTAAGAGTACAGAGAACTTTTCACAGTTGAGGATGACAACACATTGGTTGGCCAAAAATTTTGTACTAGGACATGTTTCTGATCAAGTGAGCGAAATACAACTAAGCTTGTAATGCCCTCTATTTTTTGCATGTTTACTTTCTCGACCCCAATGAATGTTTCAATAACTTTGGTTATCCCCTAAGCCGAATCTTTTGTTTGTAAACCTTTCCTGGGTAAGAAAGCATAATTATTAAACATGCAGGACCCCGTATAAATGAGGAAAGTCTTTTGTGTCTGGATTTGATCTTTGTCACCTCCAAACTACCAGCCTTCCAATCACGCACCCATCGTGGTTCTCACCCATACACAGCGCTTGAAACATCCCACTAATCAGTGAAAAAAAAAAAACAGATACTAGATGTTTTGCAAGTGGGATTGACCTAATATAATATCAAAGGAATGGCTGTCTTGCCCTGGGTCTTTTCGTGCGGGTCAAAATAAAGACTTGACAAAGCCTGAAACTGCGTATGAAAAGACTCTGGCACCAAGGGTAGTTAATATTATTGTAAAGGTCCAGGAAATATCTAATCAATCCACAACTTAAGTTTATAACATGCATGACATGCTACTTTTAATTTAGCAATACCACTCACCGTCCTAGTCTGTTTTTCCAAAGAAAGAAGAATGTCCAGAGCATCACTGAGTTTACCATCCTAGCGAGCAACAGGAATAATATTAATAAAGCTTTGATCTGTATATTTTTCCTTATAAAAGAAGCTTAAAGGATCTAAATTAAAAGAAATAAACCGGTTCTCGTACATAGTTCGTTACTTGACCGGCACGTGTTAAGTTAAAGCCATTTTTCTCAAGAAGAAAAACCACTAAAAACCAGTTCTAACTTACAGCAGCTAATGCTTCGCATTCTGGTATTCTTTTGTCTACAGTATCACTGTAGTCCACTTCCATTTTCACCACATTTCCTTTCATATCTGTAGAAGTCGCCATTTTGATGGTTTCTTTCTGTTAGAGGGCTCTAAAAGAATTATGGGTAAAATTACTCAGCACTCGACCCAGGCTTCTGTTTATAAAGCGAAAGACACGAAGAGGACTGTCCACAAGGGGGTTTTCAATTTACACTGCGCAAATTTGCGGGGTTTTTTTTTAGCCTCTTTTAAAAAAACATGCCTTTTTTTTCGTCCCCAGGGTGGGCACTGGAACACATTTCTGGCCCAACTGTGGGGCATCTGCAGCTTTCAGAAGAAAAAGTGATCAACGCCCTGAGCGGGGCAGGGTAGGTAACGTTGGAATTGACCTGAGCCGTAAGCATTTCCCCCCGTCGTAATTCCTCGCTCGAGCAACAAGAAATTTCAGTTACAACTACCTCGTGAAACGCCGTCAGCTGCGAAGAGCGGGGAGAAAAGGCTGCTTTCGCAGGCCAAAGGAACTCGGGAGCAACTTGATGTTTTTACATGTGACGCCAGGAATTTGATGGGCTCCTGGTTATGCCTATTTTTGTGTAGAATTGGCATCATTTCTTTTTCTTTACTTGTTCGCTTGTTTTTTTATTTTCTCAATCCTCTTTTGTCTCGATGGGCCTAGAAGTAAATTAGGCCCGAAGAGTTAATCGATTCACGCAAGTTCGACGTTTATAGACCGCGTTGGCCTCTTAGTCTTAACTTTCTTCGTCGTGTAACACATGCGCAAATCGAAGAGCTACGAGAAACGAGGTCCCATCACCTTGGCCCCAGAGGTTTATCTTGGTGAGATTCGAGGCCAAGGTAACCAGCAGTTTTTATCTCTCTCTCCTCGCCGCTTCGCGGGTCGCTCTCACTTTCGCGAGGAAAAATTAAGAATAACCTCTGGGACCAGGGAAAGGGCCTATTAGCGAAGAAATATAAAGACTGCTGACTTTTCTCGTTTCGCACCAGTCCCTTGGTCTGACACCATATGAAATCTTAAATACTATGTTATGCAACGGGCGTAAGTTTTCTGCCTTCCCTCAAACGCGTTTTTGCACCAAGCGCCCTCATTTCAAGGCCTGCGAATTTTCTTTCCCTTATGTTGGACAGAGGGTTGGTACTTATAAGGGTGCAGCACGAAGAACGAAAAGCTGTTTCTCACAATGACCCTTCCCTTCTTTTCACCAAAATTATTTCCATGAATATTTTCTGGGAAAATCTACAAATGTAAGTCATAAAAAGGCCAAATATATTTGCAATGAAAAGTGATGAAAAAAGGTGCTAATAAAATGACCCCTTAAAAATTCAACCTAGTACTACATATCTTAAAAACAAAGAGCAGTCTACTCTTTCACTGAAACAAACTGCGAGAAAGGTAGGAAAAACTTAACTATTTCCCTCCTAGCAGAGAAAACCAATTACTACAAGGGAACCTATCTACTACTTTTTGCAACCCACAACCCAAGGCAGAAAATAACACTTGAATTACACATCAGAGTTTTATTAATTTTTACACTTAAAAAAACTCCATTCGAGAGCGTCCACAATATTCCATTGTCACTTTCTGTTTAATCATCCATACTCTATACAAAAATTTACAGTCGCGACACATATCCATTACAGTTTTCGTTCCACACTTCTTTGTGCTCTTCAAATCAAACAAACCAAACACAACTGTTCTCAAATTCAAAGTTCACAAAGTGAGCTTAGAAGCACTTGCGATGTACAATGGCAGGACCAGATTCATCATATTCCTGCTTGGAAATCCACATCTGCTGGAAGGTGGACAGTGAAGCCAGAATGGAACCTCCAATCCATACAGAGTACTTGCGCTCGGGTGGAGCAATGATCTTGATCTTCATGGTTGGTGGTGCCAAAGCAGCAATTTCCTTCTGCATCCTGTCTGCAATACCTGGATACATGGTTGAACCACCAGAGAGGACAGTGTTGGCATACAGATCCTTACGGATATCCACATCGCACTTCATGATGGAGTTGTAGGTGGTCTCATGGATACCAGCAGCTTCCATACCAAGGAAGGCAGGCTGGAACATGGCCTCAGGGCATCGGAATCGCTCATTTCCAATAGTGATCACCTGGCCATCAGGAAGCTCATAGCTCTTTTCAAGGCTGGAGCTTGATGCAGCAGTGCCCATTTCCTGTTCGAAGTCAAGGGCAACATAGCACAGCTTCTCCTTGATGTCACGAACAATCTCACGCTCTGCTGTGGTGGTGAAAGAGTAGCCTCTCTCGGTGAGGATCTTCATGAGGTAGTCAGTTAGATCTCTACCAGCCAAGTCAAGACGCAGGATGGCGTGGGGCAGGGCATAACCCTCATAGATAGGCACTGTGTGTGTAACACCATCACCACTGTCCATGACTATACCAGTGGTACGGCCAGAGGCATACAGAGACAGTACAGCCTGGATGGCAACATACATGGCTGGAGTGTTAAATGTCTCAAACATGATCTGGAATGATTAACAAAGAAAAAAGAACATTAATAAAAACTCAAATGACCTAGTAGAAATTGAAATTAAACTTTTTCCGCTAAAATCTTGGCCTACGTGACCGCATAACTTAATAGAATATAAAAAGAATTTTAAGGCAGATTTTAATCCCTAGAAAAACAAACAAGTTGAGCTTATGCCAAAAAACCAATACCATATTAGGAGAAACCGGCATCCTTCGAACACACTAGACTCGCACTTTAAGTTGAACGGTCGACGGCAAATTTCGCAATTCGAAGTACGGTAAATCAAATCTAGCCAATAAATTTTCAAGAAATTCCAACCAAGTTTTAAACAAGAAATCAAAATTTCCGCGTTGACTTAAGGGAAACATGTAAGTAAGCCATGTTTCAAAATCAAGATCCGCACCTCAACAAAGCGTAATAAATCATGAATATGTATGAAGCTAAATCACAATAAATAAATTTAACCGAACATTTAAAATTCTCGCCAAGTTGAGTCGTTCAGTTGATCAATAAATGAACCATCCGTGATCTTAATGGGCGGTGTCTTCTCGTTAATAACTGAAATTTGGGGGTGGGGCGGTTAGTTACTTGTGGCAAAAACAATTTTTTCCAACAAAAAGAAAAATACCTGAGTCATTTTTTCTCTGTTTGCTTTGGGGTTCAAAGGAGCCTCTGTCAGTAGAACTGGGTGTTCTTCGGGAGCGACTCGGAGTTCGTTATAGAAGGTGTGATGCCAGATCTGCAAGGAAATCACATTTTGGCGTGTAAGCTACACAATATTTACTGAAGATCACATGCCAGAGTTAAAATTACCTTCTCCATATCGTCCCAGTTAGTAACGATTCCGTGTTCGATGGGATATTTCAGTGTCAGGATACCACGTTTGCTTTGGGCTTCATCGCCGACGTACGAATCTTTCTGGCCCATACCAACCATGACGCCTTGGTGACGAGGACGACCTACGATCGATGGAAACACAGCTCGGGGAGCATCGTCTCCTGCAAATCCAGCTTTACACATACCGGAACCATTGTCCACAACCAAAGCAGCTACATCTTCATCGGCCATTGTGAATTCAAAAGTAGTTCGTACCGAGGCACTGAAATATTACAAAGGTTACGATAGCTCTGTGCAACCACCAGAAATAGGACGAGATTAGGATAGGCATCGTTATTTATACCCGTCACACGACAATATGGGCAACACTTTGTTACCAAATATGGTCAAAATTTTGTGCTTTTAGTTCGCCCAAGGGGATCCGACAGGCAACTCAAAGGTGACGCTTATGACGTCAACGACAAATGATGACACGACAATCGAAATTTATCGAAAAGTGTGGAAAATTTCAGTTATTGGTCGGCATTTTGCAAAATTTATGTTGTCGCTTGCGTCCGTTTTCTTTTCTTTCAACCATCGAATATTTAAGAAAGGCGGAATTTTTGCCTCTATTTCTAATGAAAACTCCACCCCAAGTGCCTCAGCGGACGAAAAACAAAAAAGAGATCTGTCAGCAAAGGTCATCTATCCCAAAGCCAAATTTCCCGCAAATTTCCAAATCGAGTGGTCTGATAGAAGAAACAGTGCTGACGCGTGCTTTTTTGTCCTCGTTTGCTGGAGTTTATCGCTATTTGCGGTAAAATATTTCTCTAGGATTATTAAGCTTTGTATTTATTTTTTTTTACATATGGTATTTGTCACCAAACCCCAAAAGATCAAATTTTTGCTCACTGGGGGTTCACTTTGTCTCAACAGACAGGAGTGGTACAAGCTAAAGAAATGTGGCTCCCAGTCACTATTGTTAACTTTATGATTCTGTAGTTCAATCGTGAATCAGTAGTTTTTCCCTTGAACAGGACAATAGCAGTAGATTTTTGACATCTTGACATAGGTAGAAAGCGGGTACCCTCATAAAAGTATTGAGATATAAACACCCTTCTTTCCCCCTCTCCCTAAGGGCACCGCTTTCCGACTGACGTGACAAGCACTTCGCTTCCTGTTGAATGATACCTGCGCCGTTCTCTTGGGACTTTTGAGGAAATCCTTGTACGCGCGGGTTAAATTTCTGTGAAATTGTTTTTTCGCTTTGTTACTGGTGATTTTGTTCGTCGAGGGCCGCCTATGGAGTGTGATGTCGTATTCTTTTCTGATCGAAAATCACTGAAAATACTCTCTGTAGAATTCTTGCCCTTTGAGATAAAACAACAACACCAACTAAAGGAGGAGCGTTGCGTGACAACACAAAAAACGGCCGCGGAGCAGACTACTGGAAAGAGCCAGAGCTGTAGCTGTAAATGAACATCCCACTTATCACGCCATACCCCACGTGTGCCATAATTTCCGCACGTCATCAAACAAGGCAGACCGGAAATTTGCGTTACCAGCTGGGAGAGGCTCATAAATGCTACTACCCGGTGGAAGAACAATGACTCAAGCGCGAGAAAATACTCTACGCCTGGTGTACGCATAGATCAGAGGGCAGCGTAACATCAGACCGGGGCTCCTGACAGGAAAGTATAAGCCGAAAATGACACCGAAACCTCTTTCAAAACCAAAACGAGTAAGGGGTATCA